TGGGGGTGGTCTTGTTTATGTACCAGCTGATTGACTTGTTTGTATCCCTGGCGCTCATTCATGTCACCATGTTTCTGATTACAGTCTGTGTATTGGTTTCTCTTTCTGCTGGCTGTATCATTCTTGTTGGGCCTGATCACTGACAGAACAGATGCATGAAGAAGAATGTAGCCAGCAGGTCAAGAGAAGTTCTCCTCACTCTTTACTTCACCCTGGTGAAGCCACATCTGGAGCATCATGTCCATTCCCAGGCCCCCCCTGTTCATCAGAGACTAGGAACTACTGGAAAGAGTCCAGCAGAGGCTACGAAGACACTGAGGGAACTGAAGCATTTCTGTGACAAGCAAAGGCCCTGGAGAAGAGAAGACTGAGAGGGGATTTCTCAATATTTATCAAATATCTAAAGGGTGGATGTCAAGAGGATGGGGCCAGACTCTTTTCAGTGGTGCCCAGCAATAGGACAAGGGGCAATGGGCACAAACGGGAACCCAGGAGGTTCCATCTGAACAGGGGGAAAAAAATTCTTTGCTGTGCAGGTGCCAGAGCTCTGGACCAGGCTGCCCAGAGAAGTTGTGGGGTCTCCTTCTCTGGAGAGATTCCAAACCTGCCTGGATGCAATCCTGGGTAACCTGCTCTGGGTGACCCTGTGTTAGCAGTGAGGTTGGAGTAGATGATCTCCAGAAGTCCCTTCCAACCCCTAACATGCTGTTATTCTGTGGAAACATCTTGAACACTATCGTAACCTGTGCCCTTTACCAAACAGTAGCTCCTCTATTATCCACATATTCCTTCCAGAAAGAAGAACTGTCACCAACTCCACCAGCTACAGGGACTGTATCTGGAGCTTTTTAGAAGTGACACCAACTGCCTTAGCTTATTCTGTGGGTATAACTTCACTGCCAAAGATATTCTGGTATCTTTACAAAACTATCCTACTGACTGGTCTGTATTTTGCATGCTTCTTACCCGTTCTCCTCTTTGTTACCCTTATCAAGTCCTCATTTCCCTCAAAACAAATGGCGAGGCCAGACTAACCACTATGGCAAGGACACAACTGACAGGCCTGCATAGAAGTCATTTGAGATGTGACAGCCTGCATTTCATGTTGGAATAGAAAGGGGGGTATGAAATAACATCAGAGGAAGTCTTGGGAACAGAGGGAACATATAAGCAGGGAAAGGATCTGAAATAAACTGCCCCCCAATAGGCTTCAGGATGTTCTCAAGGCTGTATTCAGAGAATCTGCAGCCAAAAATTAAGTTTCTTCAGCTTTTAAAGAGATGCTGCTGCACATTGCTTAACAATGCATAATATGTTGTTACTAAAGTCAAGGGCGGATGTTGATGAGATGGGAAAGGCTTCCCTGGTGCTGAAAAATTACAGCACAGTGTTCCACCACTGACCATGGTACATTAAAAACCTTCCCACTCAGCACATGCAGACTAAAGTAGGTATCAACAGCCTCTTTGAGAGTTCTTCTAACTCAGGGACAGCTGGGGGAGGAGAACATGAAGTCATTGCTGACTTCATGGTCAATTACCACAGGATTACTCAAGGGAAAGTATCCTAGTTAAGCTCTATATGAACTTCCTGAAGCACCTGCTTCTCACTTCCCCTCCTAGACAAAGCCAGTGTTACCAGGAAGGTTCCCCAATCACTTAACAGTCCCTCAAGCTACACTGAAGCCTGATGGAAGGTGTTTAATGAGTGCTGATGGACAATAGCCAGAGCCTGCATTAGTTCTGCCATGAAGATGGGTCAAGTTTCTGAAATTCTCTGCATAATACTAAATATTATGAATACAAGAAAATGAAAGTAGATATTCTCAAGATTTAAGAGGCGTTTGTAAATTAAGCCACCATAAAATAGCTTCTACCAGCATTCAAAAAAGTGTAAGTTACAAGTTACCTTGATGGTTTGGACACTCTACACAACTCACTTTCAGGGATGACTCCATAACCAGACCCTCTATCCATTCTGGACATGGCATCTTACACCCATCACCTTTCATGGTTTAAGTTTGACTTTACAGTCACATTGTTGGTTCTTACACAACTTTTACCAGAAACCATGACCTCCAGGAAAACATGTCCTGCTGTTTTCACAATCACTTTTCTAGGTTTCTGGGATATTCCTGGTATTAGGATTTATACATTACATGACATTATAAATAAGTCCCAAACCATGAAAGACTGTATGGAACAACGATTGGACTGTATGGAAAGATGATTATGGAATCCTCTCGCTTTCCTCAAGACACTCATTTTGAGACAAATAATGAAAGAGCAGAATATATTAATTTTTATGGCACAGCATCAGTCATGGCATTTGATACACTGAAATTTAAGTGCAGCGATAATTTCACTCCTTCCTCATCTTTCATTTTTCCATCACAGGAAAAAAAAAAGTCTTGTTTCCAATAATTTGATGTAAATTTACAGCAAGGAATTTCTGTCTTCCCACACACTTCAGTGTGAGACAAAAAAGGCAAGTGATTAAAAATTGAAGCTGTCACATGTGAAGAGATCAGTTTTCCTTAAAACCCCTGTGTCCTCTGCCTTAGATTTCCCCAAACACGCCTTGCTTTTTTCTCTGCAGAGATAATGCCAAGCTAACACATCACTTAAATAGAAATGAACTGCTAGAAAGCAACAGACAACACCTCACCCACTGAAACAGAAAGCAAGTTACCTCTCGTTTGTTTCTCCTGGCAACTTTGAGAAATTCCATCAGGATCTGCAATTGGGCAGCATGGGACTCCTGTAACACAGTAAATAAGGAAGTGGAACACTTCTGTATACATTAAGAGAAACAAATATTCATCTTAGAGACAGAAACCCACACTTAGCACAAGAATAGCGTTCATTTAGAAGTGAGGATGAGAAAGTAGTTTAAGGCAGTTTTAAGAATGGTAGTTTAACTCTGCCTCACAGGTTTTAAAGTCTTGTTTGGCTCATGACAAGTTTTTGCATGAAGGCAGAAATCCTTGTAACATCTCCTGCCTGTGTGTTAGCAAAGACTTTGCCGTAATTTGAAATTAATTTTTTTGGCTACTGCATCTGAAATTGGTTTTGGAATACAGGTTGCTCACAGAGTCATCTTCAACCCTAGGAGATTAGCATCCACTTCAAGATTGACATAAAGTATTAAGTATTTAGATTTAAAAAAAAAAAAACATCCCCCCAGATTAACATTTGTGTTTATGTAAAGAGATGGCTGATGAAGATTTCACTAGGGTGGCAGACAATAAAAGTCACTGATGAAACTAAAACACCCCTTTCCAATCTTTCCACAACAGGTCATTTTCCTCAGCCATCAGCTTAATACTTTCACCAGTGTGGCCAAAACCTTGACAGGCCAAGATAAGGATAAGAAAAATAAAACCTATATTCCACCATTAATATTGCCCTAATCCTATCCCAGTTTTCTGAGACTTATTTTCACAACTTACTGAAATATTATTAAAGGACTGTGAAGACACCCTCAAAGGATCAAGACACAGGAGCAAGCAGAATCCATTAAAAGCAGACAGGACAGGACAAGTAAAGAGATTAGAATACAAGACTGCTACTTTTCTGAGATGGGTTTCTTCCTCGTGACAGTAATGAAAGTGAAGCAAGTACAACTAGAAAGGAAAAATGTTTTTAAATTGTTCTTCAAGTGTCAAATGTGTTTTTAAGGCTTAGTATCCTTAAAAGATATTTCTACTCAGAATCATCTGTACACCCAGTCCTGTGCCTTCTTTGTTTCAGATTTGTCATAAAAGACAAAAAAGCCTGAGAAAAAAAGAGGTTCTCTTTTACTCTGAAGTTAGAAACCATGCTCTTCACTGAACCACAATAAAAGACTTGTGCATAAGTCTCCACACAATAAGGTAACTTAACAGTTTTGCTAGCATTAAGTAAACATTTTCGGGTTACTTTCCTTCCATCAGAACCAAAAGTTGTGTAAATATTGATTCTGTAAGAGCAGATAAGATAAACCATCCCACATATTCAGCTGTTTTAAAGCATCATCAAAACCCACCCTCCTACCTGAGGTTCAATAAACCAAATTTTGTAATCCAGTTTAATTTAGAAGATCTGGTTCTTTTAACTGGCAAATGGTCACTTGAGACCAAAAGCATGGAATGGGCAAATACATAAGAACTTTCCCACACCAACTACATTTCATTTAAATCACAGGAACACATTGCTTCATATTGTATAAAACTTCAAGCCAGCATCATAATAAAGGCACCTGAACTTTTCTTTCAGCATTAAATGTTAAAAAGGTCTTCAGGGGTGACAGTGTTTCAGGTTCTGTAAATTCCAGTAAAAGGTGTGATCTTTATCACATGTTCATCAAGTTTATTCCTTAACCTGTTATTTTGGACTTCATGCTTATTACCAAGAAAGATCTGGTATTTATTTGTGCAACAATTAATTAGCAAACATCTTCATATGCATTTCTCTGTTCCTCCAGCCACTTTCTCTCATCCTTTTCTATTTCTCCTGCTTGTTTACACAATCCTGCCAGCAGCAACACTATAAGCATGTTCTGGGTGTCACAGCTGAAATGTTAGTTTGCTGCAAAGGTCAGTGAGATGACCAGCATTTCAACACCACAATGCAAAAGAAAGTTCCAAGCAATTAATTTGGCAATGGAATCTTACTTCAAGAAGATAAAAGCATGAAAACAAAAATTTAACTAGACAAGGGTGTTCATTTAAATAAGAGAAACGTCTTACTGCTTCCAACTGCTTCTTCTTTTGCACCAGCAGCTCCAGCATCAGATTGACATTGGCCAGGTCAAGATTGTCTTGGTCAGTCCCCAACAAATCTTGAATTATCTGCCACCTATGGCCATTCTAGAAAGAGAACAAGAGATGTTGGAGACAGTGAGTTCAAGCCATCTAGGGCAATATCCAGCAAGATATTGAAAGCAACACTGCAGTATTTAATCCCTTTGTAAAAATTTCAAAACAATTTTTGGGAATCGCAATTCCCAATTCTCCCACATGTCCATGATACAGCTTTGTTGTCCTACTGTGAAACTGTTTATATAATTTGGGAGACATCTGCACTTTGAGAGCATAACTGCTGCTGCTAGCAATAAATTTCACAGTCACAATTTTATCTGATTTGTGGCCTAGTTTCTGAAAACATGCTTCTGTTAGGAAAAAAAAAAAAGAAAAACATGTCTATCCAAGCTTTGTTGGTTTACATCTATCTGAAATACTGTTAGGTGGCAATACACTTTGATTTTTTCCCCAAGTACTAGGTAAAGCCCTCATGCTAAATTCAAATGGAAGAAGGCAGTATTAGCTTCTTTCTATTCCCACCTCCCACACTACTCCACTTAGAACATTTTCCTGGGAAATATCAAAGCAGGGAAGAAGATGGAGTTCATCACAGTGACATTCTCATTTAACCTGTTAGAGCTGAGGAGGACTCCTCAGAGCGAGCATACTACGATGCAGTCCATTCTTCCCTACAGGCTGTTTGCTCTTCTTGTCAGTAAAAAGTAAAAAAAAAGGCATCTTAGCACACAAAAAGCCAAATAGGTTAAAGCTAATACAGCCTTACATCAAAAATCCTCAGGACAACAGGAGCAGGTGAAAGGTCTTTAGGCCTTGTAAGAGCAAAGCTGTATTAAAATATACCACCCTATGGAAGTTGTACTGCTGTACATGGGTTATAAAACTGAGAACACAGATCACACTCTGATTCTGTGCCATGAAGCAAGCCCAGAAGATATCCAGGCAGTTTTATGTGGGATCAGAGCCAGCACAACCGTACTCAAACACATCCTTCTCCCTCTTGTGGTTGGTATCAGCCTTCCTCCAATTCCCCTGTAAAACAGCTTCGCGCAAGTCACCAGACAAGCCCGTGGCAGCTCCAATCATCCACTACTCTTACTGTAGTTGTAGCTGTAATTCCCAACACTGAATGAAAATTATTACCTTTAAACAAGTGTGCTTCCATAGGTAGTTTCCCCGGTTACATTCAATACATCATATGACACGTAGCTATGCTAACACAGCTTGTCTCTGCATATACAACGCTGGCAGGAAGAATGAGAGTTAACAAGGTTGATGGGATCTAGTGCCCCTGATATTGCCATTATTTGCTCATACAGCACGTTAAAGCATCATCTCAACAGTATAATTTCTTCTAAATGACATCGCATAACTACACAATTGCTGTACAAAACCATTCAATAAATATAAAGTAAGAAAGTTGGAACATACGGTGCTACTCACTGAATGGTCCAATTTGAGCCTTTTCTCCTCAGATCTTTGCTTCTGTTTAAGAATAAGTTCATTGACTAAAAAAAAAAAACACAGAGAAGAGGTAGATTTAAAGGTCACAAAATTACGAAAGATGCTACCTCAGTATTTTTTCTTTAGTTATTAATTCCATAGTCACTTTACCAGTAATTAAAACAGTAGGTTATGTCTCCACTTCTTTCCTCACCAACTCATTTCTTGATTTTTTTTGTAAACTATATAAGATTTTAAAAATCATCAAAATATCAAGCCTACACATTCCCCAAGTTGCTTCAGTTCCTTTTTCTATGCACCTATGGGTCTTCAACAAATTTTTCAACTCCAAGGCAGGGGTGTATCACAGAAGAGTATGAGGTAGATAATATTAACTGATTTACAACAGGCTGAAACCAAGCACAGCTGAATAGAAGAACAACCTTCCTTTAATCACTGATAATTTTTAAAGACATGTTTTTGCTACAGTTTTATTCCACACCAGTTTAGTGAATGGTGCAAAGAGAAAGGTAACCTCAATGCTTCACACATATACAAGCTCTTCCCCTTTGACAAGACTCAAACCCTGGAACATACATCAAATATTTTCTTCCTCTGTTTAAGAGGCAATTAATTAATATTGCTTAAAGGAAGGTATATGAATATTTTCTGTATCAAATTTTCACACACATCCATCACACAGACCTCAATACAGTAACCAAAAATAGTACAATGTGTAATTCAGCCTCCCTGCTTCAGTGTGCATGCTTTGTAAACAGGGCATGTTCTTGATTATTAGACTGACAACAGTACAAGAAAACAGAAGTAAATAAAGAGTTTCAAATCTCTAACCATCAGAAAAAACATCTTCATTTTGCTCTTCTCAGTACACAAATAGCAGCAAGTCATTCTCACTACTGTAACTCAGCATGCAGAACTGCTGGAGGCAGTGCAGTATTAATTTATACTACTCACCACTTCTTTTAATAAAATCCACAGCTGACCAAAGAGCTAATGTTTGGAATTTATTTTTGGATTTTATTTTCATTATCCAGAAGCCAATTATTTATGGGACAAATTTATAAGTGACTGCCTTCCTTAACAACTAAGATATTTCTCATAAAAGTAAGCCTAGAGCTCACCTAAGAAGTTGGGATAAAGATGATCTATGTTGTCCACAACATAGTTGCATTTGGGACATCTGTTATTGTCCTCCAAGCTCTGGTGAATACATTTATAGCTGATTAAAAATATAAAAAACAAGAAACAAAACAAGTGAGCAAACACGAACGAACAAGATATAAGCGCAAGGTAGATATGATAAAACTTGGATAAGTGCACTGTTGCCAGCTAAAAGCTGCATTGCCAAGATCCTACAGTGGAGCTAAAATGTGCCAGTATTAAGAGTATTCTGCAGGAGAAAGACAGCAAAGTTTCTTGGCAAGAATTAGAAAAGGTATTTAAGTGTTTCACTCTCATTTCCCCGAGGATTGTGGCAGTGTGGATACACACTCATCTCAAATTCATGCTCCCCTTCCACAGGCAGAGCTAACAGACTGTATTATTCAGAACCAACTCTTCTAGATTAGCCAACTACTTCATAAGCAGCATAAAAACCTATTACACATTTTGGTTGATGGAGCAGGGAAAACACCTTCAACTCCTCACGTTTTCCTCCACCTCCTGGTGGTTGTTACCACAAGTGACCTCAGAGGTGGTCTCTGTGAAGCTGTTAGCTATTTGATATACTGTAACTACAAGATGCACAAGCACCAGGCTTAACCATCTCACTAACAACATAGGTGGATGTCAGCTGCTGGTCAAGACATCATTCAGCAACATAGCTCTGTTCTTCCTAATTAAAAATTTAGGAATGCTCCTCATCTTGGACTTCTAAAAAAGTTACAGATAACAGGGATAAAGTGTTACCACAGGAAGCACAAAATCAGCTGTTATCTTACCTATGGCAGGTCCAAACATTTCTGAAAGTTAACTGAATCTGCTGCTTGAGGAAGTGCTTTATACTACCAAATTACTACTTGTAAAAGGTAGGCAATTTCTTTCTAGTTAACAGACACTGTAAGAGCATAATGTACACATCATGGTCCAACATTTATTCCAATCCCCACTGAGAGCAGGAGCAGCAGTTACTTCCACTCTGTAAGAGATGGACATTTTGTGTCATACAAAGGAAAAACTTACCAAAAGCTGTGTCCACACTTTGTCATGTAGGCTTCTTCAATCATATCAAAACAGATGGGGCTGCAAACAAACAACAACAAAAATCACAAAGAAGTCTTTTTAGGCTAAAAAAACGAAGTGTTATTAATTCAAAGCAGCCACTTAATCATGCTTAGGTGATATCTTCCATTTGTAAAATCAAAGAGGACATAAATACAACAGCAACCAGGCAGGACACAGATCCAAAGGGCAATCAACTTGAGTTCTTTGAACTCAGAGCAATCCTGCAGTCTGCTACAACCAGAAACCAAGTGTGCTCACTGCTAGAGCGTTCAGCAGTTGCAAGCCACCCAGAGTACTTTCTACAAGCAAGGCTGCAGAAGAACCTCCTTTGGGCTGGGACCTTCAGAGGCTGGAAGACCCATGACCCATCCCTGTGGTACAGTCCATGTTATGCACCAGTGTTCTCTGGAGCATTTTATTTTCCATTGTTTGCTTGTTATGGAAAGTAGCAAAGACACAAACTAAAATTATATCGGGTTGGATGGTACTTTGAGCAGCCTGCTCTAGTGGCAGATGTCCCTGCCTGTGGCAGGGTGGGCTGGAACTAGATGACCTTTAAGGCTCCTTCCAACCCAACACATTCTAGGATTCCATAATCACCTCTACTAAGTCTCAAACAGCCTTAACGTATTGATAAATTATACCAAAATTAGTTTATCCTCCTTTTTTTTCCAGCCAATGGCTATATATAGCTTCCAACAATGAAGCAAAGAGGTAAAGGAGAACACAAACAGTAATGTCATGAGAACAAGAACTAATAAGCAGAAGGTGCTGACACAGGGGTGAAGAGCAGGGCTGACACTGCTGATGAGCACAATGAAGGTACAGTGCAACCTAAAGAGGGAACCAACAGTCAAGAACATGTTACAGAGTCAAAGGAGAAGATGGGAAACGTAGACCACGGGCCTGTTCATAAGGAAGACAGAAGAATGAGAACAGGAACAAGGGCTTTAGTTTTTCCCAAGACTAGTGACAAAAGTGTAGCCAGTTCTCTGGGACAGACCACCAAGGCCCAAGCAGGGAGCTGAAGAGAAGAGAGATGTACAACCAAGGGGTGATCCACAGGAACCAGAGCAAGACAAGAGATGGGAATTCAGTGACACAAGCAGTGGAAGAAATGTCTCATCATCAAGCAGCTGTGACATGTTTGAAAGGCAAACGAAACAAACAAAAGCAGAGGAGAGCTGCATTTAACTTCCAGGGACTCCTACGGCTGCTGCCCCCGATAGCTGGTAGGACAGGCTGTCACACAGACTCAGCTGCAGCTCAGTCCAGCTGTCCTGTGAGATGCTGGGGACAGCACATGACACACAAGCTGTGCCACAAGCTTCACCTGGCTTTCAAGCCCTTCCAGAGATCCAAATGATCTCCTTTCACTCCCACAAATCCACATCAATCTCAGCCCCAAGATGTTTTCACCAGTATTTGTTTTCTTCAGAGCTTGCTCCCACCTTCTGCCCACAAGGCAGCACCCACAGATTGAGCTGTTAATAAACAGCTCGCAACTTTTTAAAAGCACAAATCTTTTTTAATCCAAGATCAAAAACCCAGATCAGACCAAAATAAGTAATGCCTGGTTGAGCAGGGGAGGGGAGCACCCCAATTTCTCCCCTTGTTAGCACCCCACAGAAGTCATTCCCCCTTTCTATCACCCATTTTAGATGATACTAACATGTTACCCCATTAGGCACTTAATAGGAGGAAACCACCCATGAATAGTTACTTTAAGCCCACAGAGTTGAAGTTGTGGCCCCTGATGAATGCAATCACCCTCTGAATCACCAAACTGGAAACCATGGATGCCTTGGAAGATTCGTTCAACCTAACATAAAAACCACATTGCCTGAAGTATTCCACCAAATCATCTGTATAAACACAAGATAAAGACAAATAAAACTAGAATGCTATTCTCTGAACCAATCAAGTAATTTCAAAAAGAAGTCTCCAAAATAATTGGCATGCATCTGTCCCTCTTCCACCCTGAGCGACCCTTTTCTGCACATTTGTTTTGACCAGCACCAGCTTTGGGTGTTCCAGTCACTGCTTCCAAGTTACTTAGTTTCAAGGCACTGTTTAGTTAGAATAAATTATGACCAAATTTAGCCAACAAGGTTGGATTAATAAGAGGATAATTGTGCATCTTTGTATTTTTTAAACACCAACTAACAGAAGTCAAAGACTTATGGTTACACAAGTAGAGGCTGTTTTCTCGCCAGTGGTGATGAACAGCTTAACTACTTCGCCTTCTTCTAGCCATGCTGTGTAACATAGGCCCACTCTGTATCATGCTAAAAGCTGCTATTCCCCCCAGGGCCAGATGTGTTCTTTCCAGCACACTCCTAATGCCCTGCCTCCAACAAAACCAACAACCCACAACTCCTCTGTCCACAATAGGACATCCTAAATTAGAGCTAAAATAGGAAGATTACCTCCAAACATGACAATGACCCAAGACCACTGTTCCCAGACTTATTCTTCTTCATACCAGTTTGACTGGAGAAGCAACAGAGCAAAAGTAGTTGAGAAAAAGCAATTAGATCCAGCCAACAGAGCCATTCAGTGTCAGGGTCATCATTAACAGAGCCTGAAGTTTCCATTAAGAAGTATTTCCTCCGAAACACTTGCTGATTTACAAGTGGAAGTAAGATTGATGTCTTTTAATACTTACTGAAGCCAGGCTGTCTGTAACACATGAAAGTGGCTACGCACCAGTTGTTTCAAGTTAATCTAACACAGGGAAGGTAAAGAAAGTAGTGGAGTGATAGGGACAAGACATACTGCAGCTTGTAGAGTACACCAAACCTGAGAAGCATGGGTATGGTGAAGTCAAGGCTTCTGTACATGAGACAGCTCTTATTCTCCATTTGTCTTCAGCAGCAGAGTCAGGCAAAAAGGATGCAAACCACTTCAACAAGACAAAAATGTCACCAATCTTTCCTAGATGCTGATGCCTTGTTTACTGAACAGATTTTTTTATCCAGCATTGCAAAGGACTTACTGTTCTTTCCCTGTGGGGTAGACTGCAAACACTTTTTAAATCATTGTAAGGAAATTGATACCTCTAAGTTTTGCTGGCTGTTCTCAAGGCACCTCTCAAGAGTGCCACTGCTACCCTGCTGCTACCCAAACCCGGCACTTAAGTGGTCACTATAAAATTCAAATACATTTCAATTTTCCTGCTGCTCTGCAGCAAACAAGACCCACTGCAGTTTCTCCCTCCCCTCTGGTCTAAGCAGTGAGCAGGACTTGCTGCAGGCTCTGTGCTTCCCGTGGAAGGTGGCCAGGTTAAAGATCCCTGCCATTACTATCTGCTCAGTATGAGGCACCAATATAACAGCAGATTAGAAAAGCACAGTTGTACAGGGTATGGAAACAGCTTGCTGTGTTTTCAGTTTGTGACCTCCAGGGTCAATTCCCAGTACTCCCTACTAAAGGGGTTTACCAGATCACAAACATCTGAACAACCACATTCAGCCCATGCGTGGCACTAGCCACCTGAGGAAAGAACAGTTTTTAAACACCCATGAACCTGCACGTTCACCTGTAAATGCAGGACATGACCCTTCCCACCCCCAGGTCTGTTTGGTGTACCTCTCTACATGTGCCATCCCCTCTCCAGGTTCTCATGTATGCCAGAGCTCAGAAATCAGCTCTGGAATAAAGCAGCCACTGAGGAGAGCCGACAGTAAGATCCCCTCTGTTCAGGGAGCAAAGCAGACTGTGATTGGTTTTAGAGGGGTTTGGTCAACCACTAATGGGAGGGCTAATGTAAGGCCTGGGAAAAACCATAAGCAATTAAATTGCTGGACAAGAGAAAATCCTCTGATTAGAGGATTCCCTTTCAGATGCTCTCCAGGCAAGTGGAAAGAGGCCTGGCTACAGGAACAGCAAAAACTAGACCTTTAAATTCTATATCCTGCACCAAGAAACAAAAAAAGTTTCCCCTTTCATAATAAAGTTGTCCAGTAAGCCAGGACTATTTTCTTTCGTAACCAGTTACACATTTCCAGGCAGAGGCTGATACATACCACAAATGGTACATACTTGCAAACTTCTGAACCTACACTTGCTAAACACTTTACAGCCTAGGCCAGCAACATGGACCAACGTTTACATTAAAACCTGGCCCTCACACTGCTGAGGGAGCACTTGCAGAAAACAGGCAGGGAGGCTGCACATGTTAATGCTATTTACAGTGTTTTCCCCTTGCACTTTGATGTTTGAAACTCACCCAAGCTTCTTTACTCTTTCCCACCTTCTGTCCAGAATAGACAAAAATCTACCACCAAGTTTACAGCTGTACCTAACAGCAACTCACAGCCCATGTTCAGAAAAAATGTTAATGTTCCCTGCAGCTCACAGCGCCCTGAAAGTGTCCTTATGAGGTAAAAAGGGGTAGATGGAAAACTTCTGCTTCTCACACTGAGATATCCAAAGCTTGTTTAAATCAATTATTTAAGCCTGCACACACCCCACATCCCCCACCTTCTTGGGCATTGCTCAAGATTCCAGAGCTGCCCAGTTGAGCTTATTTCTGTACCACAGAAACACTAAACTAACTTCTGATAACTCAAAAAAAAAAAAAAGGAAGGAATACTACAATTTGAGTTGTTAGTGTCAATAAGTAAAACAAGCCCTCTAGCCCACAGAAATACACAGCAGTGAAGAACCCAGGTAAGTTAACTATAATCATTGCCTGCTCTTAAAGCTTCTGATCTGTGCTTCTGTATGACCAACATGGCTCTTGTAAGTATCAAAAAGGGGACAAGAAAAGACATTTTGCCCCAACTGCTACTCATCTGATTTTATTCCTTACTTCTTCAGCCAGCAGCACCCCTCAATGATGGGGGAAAAAAGCTAATTACACCTTCTCATTGCAGCATGCACAGTGCTTACCTGCAGCAAAAAAAAAAAAGAGAAAGAAGAAACTCAGCAGTTTGAACCATCTTGAAATACTTCAATTGGCCTACAAACTTGTGTGTTTGAAGGGGAATTACACCCATAACTTGTTTCTACAACAGACAACAAAATGGGAAATGACAGCTGACTGAAAAGGGGCAGAGAGCAATGGTTGCAGACCACTACTGCCAATGTGAAAGTGTAGAGGGAACACAGGGGCAGGGGCACTCACAATCGAGTTATCCACCCATAACCAACAGCAGTGCAGCCACCTCCTGCACCGAGTGCCCTTCAATCTCCCTAACATGGCCTAGAGCCTTCAGCCAGAGCAGGACATCAGCTGATTACAGTTCTGCTCTCAGCCCACTTCTGCTATTGAGCAAATGACTACTCACAGTAGTAAGTGCTAATTTCTTCTTATTACTTATTACTAGTAAGAAGCACTTACTAGTTTTTCTGCCACTAACTCTTTTGCAGCTTCAGGTTCTCATTTCAGCAGCAAGAATATTTCCCATCTACTCTGCTAGACAGTTTGCAAAGCTGTTTTGCAAAGTTGTAAAGTCAAGCCTACAGGTTGTCTGAGACAATGCCTGTCCTGTAGAGATGCCAAACATCCAACCATCACTTGCATGTCACAGCTGTCAGACAAAGTCATCTTGGAAGCTGTGCCCCATTTCTTTCTCTTCCCCATTTCTTTCCAATATACAACTTTGCTACAACTTAAGTGTCTTGCCAGCCTCTCTTCTGTTTGTCTCAGATGCAAATCCTTACCCTTACTTTCTGTTCTCACATTTTAGGACATCCAACCAGCTACAAAAGTCAAACCTACTCCTTATGATAGAGGTTTTGAAACCCATTAGCAATGGGCTGTCGTTAAAACTGCAGATTACCAACAGTTCCCAAACCACACACTGCAGACAGCCTTGGTCCACCACTTTTGCTGAAAGGTTATTTCCAGATACGAGCTGCAGTTTTGGATGAACATGAGGACAGCACCTGAATAGCTTCAAGAAAAATCTTTGGTGATATTTCCCACTCGTTTAGTCATAGACTGACACAAACCTTACACCTGTTCCAAACTAGCCAACTATTCCCAGTGCAGGAGACAAACTCATGTCAGCTTCACTGGATCTGTCAACAACCATGAGGCTCCTTCGATCCCCATCCAGAGAAGTACAAAATCCTCTGCTGGCCCTTCATCCAGGGGTCAGAGCAGTATGAGGGTTCCAGAGAGGTCACCTCACCCACTGAAGGCCCCTGACGGGGCTACAGCACCAGGCAAACAGGACATCTGCTTGCAATGTCAACACATAATGAGGAAACACCTCGCGTTGTGGGTCCTCCTTTCCGATACGTCAGTCTGGTCTAGCGCTTAGCCAAGGAGGAACCTGCTAGGAATAACTTTATTTTGCTTAAAAACAGAAGGGGTGAAAGCAGTGCTGCTACACAGGGCCCAAAAACAAACAGAGAGCCACAGGACGGGGGAAACCCCCACAGGCACAACGCCTGGAGGGCTACTAGCCGAACGCCGCCTCTCCGTCCTCAGAGAGCCCCCGAGGTGCCGCTGCCGGGCTGCTCCGCCCTCCCACCGGTGCTTTACCCCCCCGGGCTCCCCGCCGGCATGGCGGCGCCCCGGTTCCCTCCTCGGAGCGCCGCTATCCCGACATATCGCGCTCACCAGACGAAGTCGTTGCTCTTGTCCTCGTAA